TGGAACTCAACGCCAGACTCTTGGTCGAAAACAAATTGAGTGTGGCACTCTGTCTACAACTCACATGTATCGGTACTCAAATGGAGTACCGACTTTGGAACCGCGGGGAGTGAGTCAGAGTACACCACGGGGGGACTTTGAGTCAGAAATTCGCCTGACATTGTCTGAGATCGGCCTGCGCGAAAAATGGCCGGTAGACCGACGGTGCGTTAGGGTTAGGCGGCCTGCAGTCGGCCAGACTTCCGCGGGCAAATGTGAGATTGGGCAGATCTATAAAGGGTCTGCAGAGCGACAGCGGCCATCCTACAGGCCGCCTGTAGATAGGCGGCTCCAAGCGCGCAGACGCGAGCTGGCCAGTTTGAAAAAAGGTCTGAAGACCGACTGCGCCCTATCCACAGGCGGCCTGTCTTTGGGCATACTTCTGTCGCGCAAGCGCGAGATGGCCAGGTGGATTTCAAAACAGGATCCAGGCCTGCAGGCCGGACATCGACGGCCTGCAGCCCTGGATCCTGTTTCCGGCGTAGTCCGACCGGCATTCCGACTGCAGGTGTGCAACAAATCCCCAACAGACGCACTTCAGCGTTTTTGTTTGGAATTCCACTTCAAACTCACATTGTCGCTACCTCCTCTTCAACTTCACAGCCATCATCTTTCCAACGCACTCAAACTGTTCCAATCATGAGTAAGAGTAATCTGCCACAGTGTAAGTCATTTTCCTTGCACATATCAAAGAAGGCTGTATATTTATAATTGGCACTTGCCTCTTCATTCCTAACACGCTCTTAGTCATTGTTGAGAAATCCAAGAGTCCATTGAGATATCAATGTGAAGTGTGCCCACTAAGCCGGACTATGAAAACATATTCTGCTCATGTTGGGACTCAGGCGCACTCACAAGCAGCGGAGCAATTCCTGCTCAGACAAGCAGAAGACAGAGCTCTCCGTCAGCAGTTTCTGCCCCCTATAGACATACCACCTACACCACCAACACCTTATGCAATGGACCTGAACCGCTATTTCTAAGACAATGGAAATCATGCGGACTTGCCCGAACCGTCATCCAACCCACCTTCTCCACTTTTGCTCCTCCAGTCCTTTGGCCAAACCAAAGACATTGAATATGATTCCGATGACTCTGGCTTGCACATGGATTTCAATAAGCTTCGTGATGCCTTTGAAGCACTGGAAACCGGAACTGATGATCATGAAGATGAAGCCGCCTATGAGGATCTGCTGGACCTTGAGCTTTCAGGAATTAGAGCTGAAGAGGCAGCTGATTGGTACCCCTTCAAAAAGAAAGAGGTAACTGGCTGCTCTATATTGCATGACTAGACATTGATTGATTCTTTTCTATGGTCACAGCATGTGGTAGCTTTGCTCATGATTGGATCAAATAGGAATCTCCTCTCGCGTGTCCAATATCAGCGAATAAGGTCCCTCCTACGTATTCTGGGAGTCACCCTGCCAGATTGGGGTACTTTGAGGGCACTTGTAAAAAGATTGAAGAAAAAGCTTGGTCTTGACATACGTGAACGGACGAGTCCATGGGGTAATCCTCTGTTTGGTTTGGATATGAAATCCATCATAAGTAATGTGAGCCTGCTTTCATTAATCAAGCTGTCTACGCCGTAATGATGTAAACAATTTGTGTTCACAGGAGTTGGCCAACCCCTTAGTCAGCCCATGTTTGGTATATGTACCCGAGCTCACCTTGGATGGCCCAATCAACCGTCTATCTCAGTGCGCAAAGTGGCGTGAAGATTACCCACCCAATCTACGTGTGCAAATGATATCGGTCAACAATTTCCACTTCTACATCTATGAGCCAGTCCAACTGAAAACCCAGCAGCTCGTAGTGCCTGTTTTTTTCTTCCAACAAGACCATTGTCTGATGGCAAAGTGTCTACCTGCAGTTGTCAAACCGGATCCTTATCATCCAGGGAAACTCAAAGTGATTATTCCTCATGATTGTTCTTTTGACTCTGACTCGCTCTTCACCATTCCTTGCAAAGACTTCTGGCGAACCTTTGCACACATTGAAATGGAGAATGGCCTGCTTTTGAAAAGCATCTCAGGCAATCATATGTATTGTAAGTAGGGTCTAATCTGTCTTAAAATTCTTAGGGTGATTTCATTGTACTGAAAACCTCCTGGGCCTGGTGATCTACTGGCAGATTTGGCAGAAGAAACTGTACCATCAAATACTATCGAAAACCCATGGCGAGCCAAGGCACAAGGGAAAGTGATCCGACATGTACCTCTGGCTCTTTATTCGGACGACACCTCTGGAAATGTGTCGAAAAAGTGGAACAAACACATGTCTATCTACTTCACTCTGGCTGGGTTACCGTCCAGTCTATCAAATCAGGAATTCAACATCCACTTCCTGGCCACATCCAATTGTGCCACAGCTTTGGAGCTATTTGATCAGGTTGTTGATGATCTAAAGTAAGGTGCTATGGGTTCCAAACAGGTCTACCTGGGTATTAACATGGCCTTCCTTTATGTAGTGATTACGGAACCAATGGATTCTTTGCATATGACCAACATCTTGGTGCAGATGTGTTGGTAATGGCTGTATCACTTTTCCACCTTGGTGACTCCCCTATGCATGCAGAAATTTCAAATACTCTCAACCCTGCGAACACCCTGACTCCATGTCGTATGTGTGATCTACACGTGGCTAAGCAGGCCGACAAACAATCTGACAATTTTGTCAGAGACTTCCTTGGCCTAGATGAAGATGGAGAGAAGGTATGACTCCATTCCTATGTTGGGCCACAATCTCATGCTGATTACACACTATAGTCCCTACTGCCTGGCCGCGATTGGGACCAGACTAGACGGGGACTAAGGAAATTT